TGTGTGTGTGCGTGTGTGTGTGTGTGTGTGCGTGTGTGTGTGCGTGTGTGTGTGTGTGTGTGCGCGCAGTCAGGTTCCTGTGATATAATTAGAATCCAAAGTAAACACTTGTTTTATGGTTGATTATAATTTGCGGTGCTTTTTGAGAGCAAATGCTCTTCATTCACAGACACGTGCAGAAGTCGCTCTGCTCACATGTCCAGCTTTAAACATCAGTTGCGTAACTTTTATTCGTGTGGTTATACCATAACCTGACTAGTTATAAATAATATCCATGGGAGGCTTTAATCCAACACATATTTAAAGGCATGACTGACACATATATTTATGTATTTAAGTAAATGTTGTGAAATGTGTGTTTTCCAGGTGCAGTCGAGCGGTGGAAGGTCCAAGTACGCAGGTCCGCTGGACTGTGCGGTCAGGCTCTATAAGGAGCAGGGGATCCGCAGCGTCTACAAAGGAACTGTGCTCACTCTCATCAGAGGTACGCTGCACTGTGGTTTGTGTATCTGTATGTTTGTGCGTGACAGTGTTGTGTGACCTCGAGCAGAGGAGCTGAGGTGACCCGAGGTTTAGCGGTGTGACTGTTTCTTTCTCCATCTCGGTCTCAGACGTGCCTTCTAGCGGTCTGTACTTCCTCACGTATGAATATCTCAAGGATGTCCTGACCCCTGAGGGTCAAAGGTCAGTATCCATTTGAACAGTTCTAACTCCTATAAAGACCAAAGATTTGTCAGATGCTGTAAATCTGTGCTTTCACTTCTCTCTGACTGTGTGCCAGTGTGTCTCAGCTCAGCACTCCCAGAATCCTCCTGGCTGGTGGTGTAGCCGGAATATTAAACTGGGTGATTGCTCTTCCCCCAGACGTGCTCAAGTCCAACTTCCAGACAGGTCAGAGCTGAGTCCAAGTGAAGCTAGTATTTTCATTTCGTTAGTAGATTTTTAGACCACATAAAACAAGGACACCATGACATCAGTCAGTGGTTTGTGACGTTTCCAGCTTAGCTTTATTATCTGGATAAGATTAACACTGGATGGGTAAACTGTGTGTTTGTGTGTAGCTGCAGATGGGAAGTACAGAGGCCTGGCTGATGTCCTGGGAGCACTGCTTCGAGAAGAAGGACCTAAAGCTCTCTACAAGGGCTTCAATGCAGTTTTCCTGCGAGCCTTCCCAGCCAACGCTGTAACACTCATTCAAATATTAATACATCTCACCCCTGATATCAGTACAGTGCACACGTGTTCATCATGGCTTTCTTCTCCTCTCTCCCTCTCAGGCTTGTTTTCTGGGATTTGAGGTGGCATTAAAGGGCCTGAACCTGCTCGCACCGAGCTGGTGAAAGACGACGAAGCAGTAACTGGAGATTTTCTCCCTCAAACAGTGTTGGTGAAATAAATCTAACGTGTACTTTTAAACTTTTAAAAATATATTTTCCAAAAACGTGGTGTCTGTCATTGTTCCTGAGATTGGGAGCAGTGGAAACAATTTGAGAGACAGCTTCTTCAGTTCTAGAGTCAAATGGTGGAGAGTCCCAGATTTAAACCCTGTGGGAGTTTCCCCCTACAGAGGGACAAAAGGACCCCCTGATGATCCTCTACCTAATCACATGAGCCAAGGTGTGAAAGCGGGTGTGGGTCACAATCAGCCAGAGTTTCAGGTGAGCTCATTGTGAAACCTGGCCCCACCCTATCATGTGATTTCCTGAGGTCAGATGGCCCAGGATGTGAGTGGGTGTTAAGGCGTCTCAAAACTGAAAGTTTCAGCAAATCTTCAGGACCTGTTGTTTACAAGTTCCAGACCTTTTCTTTTCTTCTTCTTTTTCACAGCAGATCATCTGCCTTCATCTCCTCTGCCTTTGCATCCTCTTCTGTCACAACGACTCTCTGCCTGTCCTCCTTCACTACATTCATGAATTGTCCTTCTCTCTCACTGCCTCCAAACATGCCTCCCCCTCTCCTCTTCCTTTGTCAGTAGTAGCAGAGTTTCCCAGCTGCTCGTATGCACCAGTGCAGTCATAATAATTGTACGTGTGTCCAGTATCCTGGTATGTACCCTGGAATGTGAAGTACATGCTATTTATTAGAGAGAATAATAGAGTGTGAATGCTACACAGGCACAACTAAGCTCCCAAACAGACATTGCTGGATGGTGATGAGATACCAGCATCAGTATTTCTTCAATCCAAGTATTTAAATAGATGACGTCACTTTGCTAGACATGGAATTGCTTTAAATGGGCCACTGGCCCACTGCAGGGGCAAAGGGCTCCATCTGCATTTGTATATGAAGCCTTTGAAGAGATCATGTTGCCTCTGCGAGACCTGAACAGGAGTTGAGATCAAACAAATACACAGCAGAAATTATGCAAATACTGTTGCCATGACGGAGCACAAGAGGTTTTTTTTCTTTATGGTCATTTTAAATAACAAGCAAAACAGACGATAATGATGAGACCAAAAATGTTTGTATGGAATCTAAAGATTGCATTGAACAAAATAAATTCAAATATAAACTGTTTTTACTAATTTCATTTTCTAATTCACTGAAAAAATACAGACATATTCATGAACATGCACTGTGGAAAGCTGTATTTTTAATTACTATTGTGCGTACGTTTCACATGTGAAAATCTGTGAAAACTTTATTTTACCAACAATTTTTAAAGATCAAAACATCACAAGAATATATAGGCCCTGCGGACATGAATACCACGGTCAGCCGAGCATTTAATCTTGACCTTCATTGTCAATAGACAAAAGTTTTAGTTTAGTTAATGTAGACTAGATTTCCTTATCATCGATGCTGACAGCATAACACAGAGGAGTGGGGGTGCTGAGTGCTGCTATTAACGCAGTACTTATTTATTTCATTTTCGGGGCTTTTGCAGTTTAGTATTATTGTAATAACTGGCTACTTCCAGAAGTTGTATCCTGATTGAATACTAAATGAGCCATCTACATATGTTGTGTTTAATTATTATTTTCTTACAGAGAAGGTCCGATTAAAGAAAAAAACCGTCACCTTTGGCCTACTTCCCAGACTCCGTTACCCATAAAACCTCGTTTCTCATTGCTGAAGAGGTTGATGGACTACAATAAACCCGTTTAAAGGAAATAACAGCGTCTTGAAGTCGTCTTATTTTATGGCGCGTTAACGTGTTTGAAAGAAACATAAATATAAATTGCGCGCATCTGTAATAAACAGGGAAAACGTAAAGTTTAACCGAAAACTACATTACCCATAGTTCAGCGCGTGACAACAGCTTCCGGGGTTGGTGACCATCAGCCTGTTAGCAGGAGACAGGAGAAAGGTGAGGAAATGTAAGATGTGGTGATGTTTGCAGCTGTCGGAGTTTTCATGTCTTTAAATGTTTTTGTGCAGTTTCAGAAAAATTAACGACGAAATTTTTTTCTGCATTTCTGAGGAAATAAAACCCGTTTTTAGCTAATCTGACATAATGTGAGTGCAGCTGCCGAGCACCGTTAGCTGAGACAACACTCCTTTAACATTTAACTCGGATGAGTTAAATTTTGAACTATGAACTTTTTCGTTGTTTTCTTTCATTATCACGTCTCTCAGAAGTCAGTGTGCCGTAAACTTTGGCTAGGAGCTAACAGGCTAACGTTAGCCGGCTGCTCTTCCTGCTCACTTCATCCTAAAGCTGCGTGCTGTGTGAGCTAATGAGACAGCTGTGAGACATAAATATAACCACGTGGAATTTATTCAAACTTAGTTTGGTCTCTTATAGACAATACAAAGACTCAACTTTATAAATTTGGTTCGTTTTAAGTTTCTTTTGATTTTTTTGTTTGTTCTTTACTTACTTTACTGTTTCGCGTGGCTACGGTGTCCTAAAGGTCCAAAACATCATTTCAACAGGTTTTTGTTTTATTTTTGCATAGCATAAAACTCTAAGAGGTACTCGAGGACACACGTTGTTCGGATAAACTGTAGTTGGCAGTGGCTGAGATACAAAAACGACAGTTTTCAGATAACTTTCCTGTTTCGTAGTTGGGTTTAAACCTCAGAGGTCTGAGTCACCATGCAGGATTTGACCGTATCAAAGTAAGTTCAGGGTTAACCCTGAGGTGTGCAGACAGGAGCATGTTGAGTCCTCTTTGAACATTTTCAGTGCAAATAAAAATCCTTACAGAAACTATACAGGCAGTCACATGGAGTTATTATTATTATTATTATCGTTACATACGGTTATATGTGGGAAGCTGTTTTTCTTTTTAATCATATAACACATGGAGGAGTTTGCTTTTCAAACGCAGCAGACAAAATGTTTTGTTGACAGGAAACAAAAACCAAACAAATAAAGTTGTTGCTTTTAATAAAGATTAGCTCTTACAGTATGACAGCAGGAGTTTGGTTTGAGCGCCACCTGCTGTCTCTGTCATTCAGCCTCCCCCTGCGTGGCTTTGTGTTCAGGTGAGTGTGTGTGTGGATGTAGTGTCAGCAGAGCGCCGTGATGCCCCTGGAGGTGAGATGGCCGTTCCCTCAATGCCCCGCTCTGCCGTGGAGGGTCTCCAGCTCGCTGATCATGGGCATGGTGGGCTCCTACTCCTACTTCTGGACCAGTAAGTTATAAGCTGAATGATAACTTGTACACTCTCGCTTATTAGCAGCAAACTGCACTTCTTTAAAAAGAAAATCAAGTCCCTTGGTTGCCTCCAACGGTCTCTGGGTGTTTATGCTCAGTGAGAGCACGAGTGACTGAACTGTACTGTTAAATAAAATACACAGTACAGCACAGAGTCCACACGAGGACGAAGATAACAGTGATGTGGCTTCACAGAGGAGTTAGAGGGAAAGCGAGCTGCTGATATCAACGAGAAGAAAGCAAATTTTACGTTCATCTTAATTTTCTGGATGTCACTCAGAGAACCTTCGACTGATCCTGCCTCCTGCTCTTCTTCCTAAGAGTACATGAACTGTCTGACGGTCCACAACCACGAGGTTCTGTTGAACCTGGTTGACCAGAGGCCTTCGGACACGCCCCTCATCACTCTATCCAACCACCAGTCCTGTATGGATGATCCGCACATCTGGGGTAAGAGCAGACACTCGATCTGAAATCTCACTGCTGGTTAACACTTGGATGGTAACGGCGTGTGTTTGCGGCAGGCGTCCTGAGGCTCAGGCAGCTGTGGAACTTCAAAAAGATGCGATGGTGAGCTTCATCTCGTTTCTTCTGAGCTTCAGCCTGTTAATGTTTTAGAAGCAGGGACGTGTAATTTTCACTTACCTGTGATTGGACAGGACACCTACAGCATCTGACATCTGCTTCACTAAAGAGCTGCACTCCAGGTTCTTCAGCCGAGGGAAGTGTGTTCCCGTCTGCAGAGGTAAGCCCATCTGAGCGCATCACACCACGTGAGCCAAGTATCCGAGCAGAAGTCTGAACGTCGGGCTTTTTCTGTTTCAGTTTGTTGTCCTGTGAATGACAGAAAACCTTCAGCAGACGTTTTCTTTTTCTTTCTTTCCATTATTTAACAAGGACAAGACACGAACACAAGTATATCAAACATACTGTAAACCTGGCTGATTATAGCAAAACTGCAAATTTCCACAGTCATGCAGCCAGTCGCATTAAACTTACTAATAAACTAATAACATAAATATAAGAGAAAACAAAAAGCCTTGACATAATAGACAGAAATGAGTGAGGAATGCTCACAGAACTTAATGGGACAAGTCCATGTAGACTCTTACACGCAAACGGGCACACTGACATTGTTACATGATATTATTTAAGTGATCAAAACGTGTGTAAAACCGTTTTGTGTCTGTAGGTGATGGCGTTTACCAGAAAGGAATGGACTTTATTCTGGAGAAGCTGAACAAAGGAGAGTGGGTGCACGTCTTTCCAGAAGGTCTGTGAACCTCCTCCTCACATGTCGTTATTTTTTTCTTACTGTGAAAATGAACTCTTCTTCTCTGATTTTATTTCAGGCAAAATCAACATGACGGAGGAATTCATACGTTTAAAGTGGGGTGAGCGCAGTTTGTGCGTCTCTGTTGGAGCAGATGTCGTGCTGTGATCATCAGTGTGAACATTTGTGCTTCTGTGGTTTTAGGTGTTGGTCGGCTGATAGCGGAGTGCTCGCTTAATCCGATAATCCTGCCGCTCTGGCACGTGGGTGAGTGACGCTCCTGTTATGGCTTCAGAATATCTCAGACTACAGATTAAGATGTCACCACAAGACATTAGCAAGGTAGCAGCAGTCTGATGGCTTAAGGTCGGCGAACAGCGCCACGCAGTGATGCAGGTACAGAGGAAACGCATCACTTCTTCTCTGCTTCATGTCAGGTTTGAGCGACGTGCTGCCCAACGTGGAGCCCTACATTCCTCGCACGGGCAAGGTGAGACGCCTTCAGTCTGACTCCAGGATGTGTTCGGATCTTTGAGGGTTTTTTGTTTTTTTAACATGTTTCGTTGTCTTCCAGAGAATCACCGTCCTCGTGGGGAAACCGTTCAGTGTCAAAGATCTCGTTGAAACCCTCCGAGCTGAAAACAAGAGCCAGGTGAGCACAGCTTCATCTAAGGTGCTGTCATGAAGTTCGCTGACACCAGCAAGTAAAAAAACAACAAAAAACTTCTGTCAGATAAAACAGGAGGTTTCAGGACGTCACCATGAACACCATGATTGAATCCTAACTAACTCTCAGAGATTTCACTTTCTCAAATGTAGAAAGTAATTATAACAGATACTGAATGTACGTTTCAAATTTTCCCCTCAGTTGGAAATGAGGAAGACCCTGACGGATTTCGTCCAGGTGGAGTTTCGGAGCCTGAAAGCCCAGGCCGAGGCCCTGCACAAGCAGGTAGAGACCAGATCCTGAGTCCTAGCCGTCCTGCGTTTGCCTGCAGACACTGGTCCTTCACACATCAGCCCTGAGGATAACACCCCATGTACAGAGAAGCTCCCACACCTCCACACGGAGACATCACTGAGCCTCAGTGTTTCGCTGACAGTCGTAAACGAACATTTCTGTAACTTTGGATGCAACAAACTCATTTTGTAATTCAGTTATTGCTTCAAAATCAGGTTGGTCCACTGCACACCTAAACAGGACGAGTAGCACTGCAGATGTATGAATGATTGATTACATATGAATACATGGTTTCTCTGGGACCCTTTAGAACCAGAAGCCCTCAGGAGAATTTCTTTTACCTCCTTGGTATCAGAAGGCATTTTGATTTTGATGATTCAGCTTTTCATGTCATCCAACTTTGAAGTCCAGAGCAGCAGCAGAAGCTGGTGTTGAGTCTGAGGAGGAGAGAGGAGGTCGGGTGATGGGTGGGCGAGTGAAGGGGCCACCTCATGACCTTTGTGTGTTTGGAGGGGGGAGGGTGCGGTGAACAATAGCCTTGAACTTTGTTTTTCTTCTTACTGGTGAAACACACAATAGATCTCAAAAAGGGCAGCAAACCAAGACTAGTTAACCAAGTCCCAGTTACTAGGGTGAGCACCTGGTGACTGCCTGGCAACCACCAGTCACTATGTATGAATAAGTATTTCCGCCAGGCTCTAAGTGACAAGGAGGTTTCACCTAGCAACAGACAGCAGCTGCTCACCGACGGGTCATGGAGTGCACGTTTTATCTGGTAACTTGTCAGTGTGGGAGAAATGATCCTGCTCTGATCGGGCTCTGCACCAGCTGAATGCTTTTCTCAGTTTTGCTGAATTGTTCAATTTTGATGATCTGTTTAATAACCAGTTCTTTTTTTCTTTAAGATGTAAAGCTGCTGTTGTTTAAACTACTAAATATTAGTACTCATCATGCTCCTCTGTGCATGAGGAAGTCAAAGTGCTGCATGCCAGATGTTTGCAGCTGTTATCAGAAAGATGCTCAGGCAGTAAATGATTGAGGTAATCGCACTGTTATGTTTGATCATTGGATTGCTCCTTGCTGTTTTTCAGTCATCTCTTAGTTGTGTTGATAATTTTCTTTTTCAATCAAAGTTTTCCTGTTAATCCTAAAACCCCTGAATGCTGCCCCATCACCGATGTACATAACTTATTTTATCACAGAGGACAAAAAGGATTTTATAAGGGACAAAATCTGTGCTAATTTTATAAGTGTATCGCCTTAATGTGATTGCCACTCTTTCCTATACTTGATGTGAAGTCCAATAAAGAATCTGACTTTTCTAAGTTTGAATTTGTTCCATTTGTGGTTCATCTTTAAACTCTGCACCAGTCTAACAGATCCACGAACAGTTTGGTGGCATTATGAGTGCTTAGCAAACCTTACACTTTATGTAGACCAGGGGTGCTCAATCCCAGTCCTCGAGAGCTACTGTCCTGCAGCTTTTAGATGCATCCTTGTTCCGACACAGCTGAATCAAATGAATGGCTTGTTATCAGGCCTTCTCCAAACTTGATGGCATGCTGAAGAGGTGATCAAACATTTGATTCAGCTGTGTTGGAGTAGGGATGCATCTAAAAGCTGCAGGACAGTAGCTCTCGAGGACTGGGATTGAGCACCCCTGATGTAGACAAAGTGTACATTAAGCCACTAAAGATGATCAGTTTATGCTAAATCGTGAATGTTTCCATATTTTTGCAGAACGTAATTTTTAAGATGTTTCTTTGAAAAGTTAAATATTCTCACTTTGGATGATTAATTGGACATGTCGAAGGGAATTACGGTTTCCAATATATCTGTTACAGTAAATAATACTTGTATTTGTATTTAAAAAAAGAAAACATTTAATAACATTAAATGACATTGAAATAATAGTATCACGTGAACAATAAATCATGGTTATTTGCCATTACTACATTGTGTCTAATATTAGCAAAATAAAACAACACAAATAATAGAATATTAAAACGTTGTTACATTTGAAGTAAAAACAAAAATTCCTTTTTCACGTCCGCCGCTGCGCCGTCTGGTCACGTGATCTGGTCAAGTGATCTCGTGGAACGTCACGAGCGTGCTGTCAGAGGCTGTAAAGATGGCGGCGGGGGCACTGCAGCGGCGGCGCATCACTGCGGCTGTGGCCGTTTTTCTCGCTTTATTGAACGTGTTGAAGCTGGCGAGCTGCGACGAGCAGGTGCCGCTCCTGCTGTGGACCAGCGGAAGGTACGTAGCCGTGAAGTTTTACTGATTTTGGTCCCGTTTCCGCGGCTCCTTCTGCGACCTCAGCGGCTAACGGTTAGCCGTGAGAAAAACAGCGGACAAAAACTACGTTCTCTGCTTCGTCACCACAGTACACGGCCCGGAAAACGTTTAATTTGAGCGGACTGGCTGAAACACGAGGTTAAGTCAGAGAACGTGACATGAGAATATCCTGCAGGCCCAATGAGTGACGGGTGCAGTCCACCTGACAGCTAGCAAACACTCCTGCATCTGTCTGTGCTGCCTGACACACAGAAGACAGAGCAGCATGTGTTATCAAAGGCTTTAATACTGTAAAAACGAATACATTATGTATTTGACGGCCTTTGATGAGGGTCTTCGGATGTGAGAAGTTCACATTGTGAAGTGCTTGGGTTTTTCTCCTGTTTTAATAATATTCAATCATCTGTATCTGCAAGAAAATCAGGAATGTGCTCTTTGACGTGATGCAGGTTTATCTGCAGATAAGTTGGTCCTCTCTCATTAAAGGCCGTATAGGTTCTTGCAGATGGTTGAAACGACAATAATAAAACCGCTTCACTGTGAATCCATCAGATTCGGTCTGGTAGAGGACTCTTCTTGTTATGTAGCAGCACTTCATGACTCCTCCACCTGTGTTTGGTGTCTCCTGCAGCATCTCCCTGCCAGCTCAGGCTCCTCCAACAGCCGGGCACATCGTTGGGCAGCAGCAGCTGGCCTCCTACCTGGAGAAAGCCCTGGACGTCGGACCACATAACGTAGTCCTCTTCCTTCAGGACAAGGTAAACCCTCACGCTGTTGTTGAGCGTCCTTGATTTATTTATTTATTTTAATTCCTTCTGAGGCACTAAAGCTAAACACAAGCACAAATGCTCCTCGTCTCGTTTGCTCTTGTATGGCCCCGTCCCGTTCATGTGCATGATCATGTAGCCTTTTCGCATTTATCAGAACTCTTCAAGTTTTGGTATTTCTTTATTTAATTTGGTCAAGACTTTTAAAACTAATGGCAGACGGCCTCACAGGTCAGCAGTGTTTGACTGAAGGTTAAAACCGTCTCTCACAGTTTCTCTTTGCTCTCTGTGGTCTAAAACATTTATGACTCATTGTTTTTCCTCTCGGTCTTCAGATGAGCATCGAGGACTTCACCATGTATGGAGGAGCCTTTGGAAACAAGCAGGATAATGTGTTTCCAAACCTGGAGGTATTATCACGATGAAACAAACCAAACAGAACGTTTCCGGTTTACTCTCAGGTGTGTGTCGGTCACTCATGGTTTTTCTTCTGTCACAGGGAGCTCTGATGTCATCATCCTCCTCTCTGGTTTTACCTGCCGTTTCCTGGCCTGCATCCAATGCAGTGATTGGCCAGCTGCAGGACCAATTGGACACCTCCCCTCTCTACATGGACCCTGAGACGCTGAGCCAGCTGAGACTGAACGCCTCGTCGCCTGCTCTGCTCGTGTTCAGACTGCCCTACGGCATCGGGTCTGTTGACTGTTCAATAATTAACCGTTAATGGGATTTCCTGCTGTAAACATTTTATACTGCCAGTTACTTTGTGACAAATGATATAATCAGTCATCCTCTGTCTTGGACTGCAGCTGGTAGTTTTGCTCATTTTGAGCTCAGTGAACTGAGTTCACATAGAACAGCTGTGGTCATGTCCTCCACAGGCTTTGATCCTGTTATAATGGTTTCTAAACGGGCCTTGATGTCGCTGTTTGTACATTTTCTAAAAATTGAAATTCAATTTCTCAAACGTCGCACGGTAAAGTTAAAGAGGTAATTTTCTAGAAGGGAAATAACCCACACACTTCATCTGGATGAGCTTTAAAAACACTGAAGCCTCTCCTCCAAAGACATTAAGACTCATCCATCCTTCCTGGCCTCGTTTGTCGTTTCAGAGCTGATCTCTTGTCAGCGAAAGAGATTCTCAGTGGAAACGGTGAGTCTGTTTAATCTGACCCAGTGACTGTGGAGCTCAGACTCTGAAGCATGCGATTCTCACAATCATCTGTGAGCTTTTTATTTGCCATCTTTTCCTGTGACTGTTTTCTCTGTGACGCGTGTTTTTCAGATGAAGTGATTGGTCAGGTGCTGAACATCATGAAGTCGCAGTCTGTTCCGTATACGGCTATCTACACCGCCCTGCGGCCCTCCAGGGTGAGTCCGAGTCTCATTCAGAAACATTTATACATGTTTGCAGCCATTTGTCATACCCGCCCCCCCTCCCTCCATCTTTCTTTTTCTACACAGGAGGCAGCGTCTCTCTCTGTGGAGGTCGGTCTGGGTGGGGGGCGCTCGCTGCTGCAGGTCAGAGGGGGACACAAGGAGAAGGGTAGAGAACGGGAGAAGCAGCGGAGGACCCAGGAGAGGGCTGAAACGTACCCACCCGTCGAGTTCAAGGTGGAGTCACAGATACCTGAGCAGGACTTTGACTCTGCTTCCTTAAATCATTTCTTATTTGTAATCGTGATTATTTATTCATTTGAACTCTTTTTCCTAAAGGCTGTTTTCTGTTTCACTGTAAATCCCACCAACAACAAACTGTTGCAGAGCAAAATCAGAACTTTCAAGTCATGAATGAAGTTAACGCGCTGACATTGACACGATGTTGGATTTGCAATAAAAATCCAGAATATTCTCAAACTAATTTGAAACTTGGGTCGGCAGCTCACAGGGTGGCGCTGACGTCAAAGATGTTGTGGCAGAAAATCCAGATGCCATTGTAAGGAGAACCTTTCTGTTCACTGGTTATTCTGCAGGAGGGGGAGAACAGCTGCATCCTGCTGTGGGCTAAAAGCCTGTCGGTGAGCATCCTGCGCAGCGGTCGCTGGGAGGAGCACGACCTCACCCCGTCCACCTTTGGAGAAGGCGTCACCCCCAACCTCGACGGCTCAAGCTGCGACAAAACCAAAGCCAGGTGCTTTTTACCTGTGACCTAATACAATATGTAAAAACAATCATTCATTTTCATGCTGTGATGTGAATATCACTTAGCTCTGGCGCGGCTCAAACTGGAGTCTGAAATTCAAATGTTTAAAAATCTTTTGTTTTTCATGAAATGCTGCTGCGGGTGTAAATTTAACGTGAGGTTTTTTTCTTTCAGTTTGGTTCTGAATTATAAGAACGTGCTGAACCACCGCAGCTTCAAACTGATGTAAGTGACCAGGATTTTGGTCCCCAAAAGTGTAGTAAACTTCCTGTTTCTGGTCCCCATAAAGATATGAATACACGCTCACACACACACCCATATGCATTAATATATTATATCTATGCTTTTACATTTGTCAGTCCTGCTGCACTCTTGAAAACTTCCTGTTTTGCTGTTAAAGATATTCGATGCTCTGCTCGTTGGTGTTTTTCAGCTTTGCTCTGAGTCAGCAGAATTACAAGGTGTCGGCACGGCGCTGGTTCACGCTGGACGCCGTGGAGCTGGAGTACGACGGTACCAAAGCCACGTTTAACGGCAGCAGGAACATTTACGCTCCCGCCGAGTACTCGTACCGCTGCGAGTCCGTCACCAACTTCCAGTGGCCGCTGCTCATGCCGCGCACATCCAAAGACCCAGCCAATCAGTGGAGGGTCTCCTTTGAAGACTTCCAGGTAAGATTGTTTGGTCTTTGGTGATATAATAAAAATCCAACATAAGATGTCAGGTGTAAAATGGTTCCTCTGTTGGATGTCTGCATGTGCTGACAGCAATGAGCAGAGCGACTTTTAGACCATATTAATTATAATTGCAGAAGAATACTGGTTTGAACTGGATTATACTGGTTTTATAACAGCTGGAAGCTAAAATTACAAATGAAATAAAAATATTAGCACACACTTTGTTTGTAATGGTGGCCGGCCTTCCTGCCGTCTGATGATAATAATAATACATTTTATTAATGAGCGCCTTTCAAGTCACCCAAGGACACTTTACAATAGGATAAAACACATAATACACTCTGAGCTACAGAGGCTAATTTTTCACATCCCCGCTCGTCTTCATTGGTCCAAAGGTCGTAAACCATGGCTCAGCCCCCCTCAGCTCATCAGTTGGGCTGAATTAGTGAAATGGATTCATTTTTGTAGGTGAAACTTCTCCCCGTGTTTCCGTTTATTCTGGACACGTGTCCTAGTATACTAGGATTCCTGTCTACGTCACGGCCCGGCGAAACCCGGCCCCTTGTAAATATTTATGATGCTTCCTCACACAACCCCAAAGAAGCGCATTTATTCATTCAATAAATAAAGACTTTAAAAAAGTATTTACTTATAAACGTATGAGTATGTCAGTGAGATTTCTGGCCTGTTATGTGAGTCTGAAATGAAGCAAACGCCACATTTTGAACCCCTTCTCCTTCTCGCCGTCAGATTCAGGGCTTTAACGTGAGCGGTGGTGAATTCTCGTACGCCAGCGACTGCGCCGGCTTCTTCTCCCCAGGGATCTGGATGGGTCTGATCACCAGTCTGCTCATGGTCCTGGTGCTCACCTACGGCCTGCACATGATCATGCAGCTGCGCACGATGGACCGCTTTGATGATCCCAAAGGCCCGGCCATCTCTGTGCCACAGACGGAGTAACACACCTGCACCACACCTGTCCACCCTCCACTCTGTCCTCTCACTGCAATGCTTCCACTCCTCCAACTGCATTCCTCCCCCCTTCCATCTGTATTTGGGCATTATTCAGTGCGATCATAATAAGGTTTTATTCACTGGTACATAAATGTGTCCGTTTATATTTGAAATATGGGCTGAAGCTGGCCTCAGTTTGTCCTCATGTGTCAGCCTCTGTAGGCTGGATGCTTTTCCAGAGTCCTGCCTCCAAATTAACTCCTTAATGATCTTTGAGAAACACACGGACTCATGTAGAACATGAACAAATCTTTGGGTGATCCTCCAAACTTTATCCTGGACTGTGTTCACTGTAAATCAGCTACAGTCTGTAATATGAAGGGATGATGTGACAGCAGGGTCTCAAACCTGAGACCTTCCATGACAGTGTGACCGTGACCTCGGCTAACATCAGCAGGAACTTCTCAGCCACACGTCTGTTTGGTGATGATCACAGGGCTGTACACTGGCTGTACTGCTCGAGGGTCCAAAGTTGTGTTGAGAATTATTTACATTTATTTATTTACTTACTTATTGAGCATTAATATGATCCTAAAATGGAAAACCTAAACCTTCCTGTACTTCATGTAATATGAGCTCGTATAATTGTTTTTATTGTTTGCTGTTTCTCAGCGGAGTCTGAGGCTGCAGGGATAAAAACCTGCTAACGTCTGCATACATCAGCAGCACAGCTCTCACTCTCTGTGCTCCCTCTGATGCACTCGTGGTCCTGTGCATGTAGTCTCGGCCCGGACTGAACCTGTTTAATTTGAACAGTTTGTGCAGCTTTTGTTCTGTGAGGACTCTGGAAAAATCCTTCAAAAACACCTGAGGCGTAAACTGAGCCCAGTCCTCAGGCTGGATTCATTTAACACAGGAAAGGGACGACTGTACATACAGGAACAAATGTACGTTATAGAAAAAGTTATTTGTTGGTGAAACTGATGTAATTGGTGTGTTTGTGTTTACATTATTTGACCAGTGAGGTGTAGATGTTGACTGAAGGGAGCCCGCTCTGTTTATGGATGCTAAAGGAATCATTTCCACTCTATTTATTAACTCCAACATTCTCCATCAATTTGAGGAAAAAGCTGATAATGAAGCATTAAAGTTTCCAGTCCGAGTAGTTTTACTTGATTTTTGTGTTTATTACTGAAGTGCACTGAAACCTGTTCAATGTGGAATTCTGTCTGTTTGTTTTTTCCATGATGAGCATCGTCGATGTTTGGTCCTGTGCTGCTGTGACCTCCAATAAAACATGTGTGAAGATGGCGAAGCTCGAGTGTTTAATTTCAGTCGGTCTCAGAAGCGCTCGCAGGCCGTCTGAAGAGAACAGGGCTCACAGTTTAAAGACGCCTGTGCTGAGATGAGGGAGCATTAGTGCAGATCAGAAGAAGACTGCAAAACACAAATAGTTACGCTGAGCAAAGAAAGTCTTACTTTGCGAGTTCACACAACTAAATAAACAACTAAGCGTATAAAACAAAGCGAACGTTCACAAGGCTACGGCGTAATCTAAATTCAAAGTGTAGTTATGCTGTCACCGTGTTTAGATATTCAGAATGTGCACGTTACAGTGGTTTTGTATGGAGTTGTTTGATTTTGTGTCTAAATGTTCAGAGTGGCAGGTTTACAGGTCACGTTATTGAGGACCTCAGTAAGGCCACACACCATGCAGTGACTGACATTAAGGACTTTACTCAGTATGTTGAGCTTAAAGTTTTGTTTTTTTCTAACCAGATCACCATGGTAACACGTTAACTTTGGGGCGGGGTCTTTATTAGTTTGGGCTGAAATCATCTGCTGGAGTCGTGTTTGACTGCCTTCTGCAGTGACACTAACACATTCACATGTTCACAGCATCCTGTCCATGAATTATGGGATGGACACCTTTGATGTTAAACACAACGCTGAGGCAGGGCTGGTCGATTAATTTTATTTTGTAATAAGAAGGAAAAATTATGAGAGGTTTAATCAGTTTGACGTTCAATCATCTGTCGACAGCCTGACTGTCCTGCAGGCCACGTGTTGCATTGGATTTATCTACCTATTGATTACTGATTGGATAATCGTTCCATTTGAAGCACAAACATGGTGTTTTATTGATTTGATGGATTTTCTTCTTCAATCACATCTGCAAAGAAAACAAATTATTTTCACAAAGAGTTTCATATCAAGTCCTAAATATTTTGTACTTGTAAATCAGTTTTGTATGTGCGTTTAAAAAATATATATATATATTTGCGTGTGGACTTAGCCAAAAAATATGTGTGAAACTCTTGACCCTATTTTTCTTCCTTCATCTGATTGGCCAATGTCATGTCAATCACAAATTTAACAATCCAATCAGAGAACCTCTGATTGGACCTAAAACCTGATTTGCAAGTACAAAATATTTATGTCCACAATTTGAGCGCATAAAGTCCCATCTACTGAAAAATAGGCGAGCTTTGATGCGTAGCTTTGTAAGCGTGAGTACACATGCTTTTAGGTTTTCTGGTGTCTGCAGAGATTTGAGCTGTTCAGGAGTCGTTCAAAGGGTCTTTGAGGCACTTACTCTCGCAGGTGTAGACCACCTCCAGGTACTTGTAGGTGCCTGGACATGGGTCTCCAAACATAGAGTTCCTTACTTTGATGGAACAGCTGTTTCTGCCGTTACAGCTGTGAATGTAAATGAGAGTGAGTGAGCAGAGGCTCTAAATACTCGAGTCATCAGAGAGAAAGTGTAAAGAGTCTGTACCTCTCGGCTACTTTGCTGGTGGGAATTGAGCACTGGGTGTTACTGAGCTGAGCGGGAGGACGTTTGTAAGAGCACGTGGTCGAGTCATCGCGGCCGTATTCAGCCGACAGGACGACTATAACGTGTCCTTCATCTGAAGAACAATTCACTGTTAAACTATCAGCCTGTTATTATTGATATATCAGTTCTTTTTCACTTGCATGTTTTATTTTTCTCGCATGAAATCACCACAGTTTTAAACGATGAATAGAAAAGAAGCAACTTTACCACAATGAAGGTTTGCATAAGAATGTTCACATGTGATACTGTGGACTGAAAAAGAAACACATTTCCAAATGCAGATTAATCTCTCGAGCACAGATTTGTCTTTGACCATATTTTGAAGGTATCAAAGCCTCAAGGCACTTACACGGACAGTCGTAGGCCACCTCCAGGTACTTGTAGGTGCCTGGACACGGGTCTCCAAACACTGAGTTGCTCGCTTCGATAATGCAGCTCCTTTTCCCGTTACAGCTGTGAAAGCAGACGATGAGTGAGTCAGCCGAGGCTGGAAATACATCTGAGTGAAGATGTAAGGCTGAGCAAAGATCGAGCCTCTGTACCTGTCAGCTACTTTAGACGTGGGATTGATGCATCGGGCATTCTGGATCTCACATTCTGGACGCTGGTAAGAGCACGTGGTCGTATCGCGGCGTCCGTAATTAGCCCAGTGGACGGCGATAACGTGTCCGTCATCTGAGGAAGTGTTCATGGAGTTAAACTATAACTGTGTTTGGGTTTCTATCGAACCAATCCACCAACGATACAAAAGTATGACGTGTGTTCTCACCACAATGAAGGTTTGCCTGAGACCCTTCACATGCTACGGTGTGCACTGATGAGGAAGCAAATTAGAAACTAAAAATTCATCTACAGATTTCATCACTGTGATTCAAAAATCCACTCAAAACATGTTCGTAGGGACCAAAGCTCTGCAGCAAAGTGTCCCGAGGGCACGTTGGAGCTCTGTTACGACTCTGAGGTACTTACGCTCACAGTCGTAGGCCACCTCCAGGTACTTGTAGGTGCCTGGACACGGGTCGCCAAACACCGAGTTGCTCGCTTCGATAATGCAGCTGCTTTTCCCGTTACAGCTGTGAAAGCAGGTGAGTGAGTCAACAGAGGCTTTACATACTTTGTCAGGAAACATCTAAACCAGTGTGCACAGTTTGGGAAACCAGGGTTAACCTGTAACCTGGGAAGAGAAACATTCAGCACATCATCTGTGTGGTGCAGTGGGACGAGGTGACTGCTGATAGAAGCAGCAGGATGAACTGTGAAGTGTTCAGTCACATCTGCGTCGGGCTGAGGGAAGAACGAGCCTCGGTACCTGTCAGCGACTTTAGCGGTGGGATTGGGGCAATGGGCGTTTTGGATCTCGTGGGTTGGACGATGCTGAGAGCATGTGGTCGTATCGCGGCGCCCGTAGTCAGCCCAGTAGACGACTATAGCCTTTCCTTCATCTGAGGAAGAGTTCACCGTGTTAAATCAGCACCATGTTTGTACATCAATGAAACAAATCCACCTGAATCGCAGAGGAACTGCCCCACTCACCACACCGAAGGTTTGCGTTGGATCCTTCACACGCTGTGCTGTGGACTGAAAGAGAAACACGGCGTCACAAACTAACAACTCACAGGCAGAGTTTGGAAGTATCCAGATACAGACCTGCTGGGAAGCAGGCGAAGGTGGTGTCCAGGTATTTGCAGGCGCCGGGAACAGGAGTACCAAAGATCTGGATGTCTATGTCACACGTTTTCTTTCCGTCACAGCTGTGGGGAGAGATGGAGCTCACTGACGTGATCGTGTTATTGTTTCAAATGTTTGTTACCGACAGTGGTCACCTCTTCTTGATGGCCTTCAGTTTGTGGTGCTGAGAGCAGTGTTCTTCATCTCCACATGTGTGCTCGACTGACTCCACAACGATCACGCCGCTCTCTGTTTCACGCAGTATGACACAAAAGCAGAGATTAGAGAGGTTCAGAGCAGAGATGGATGGATTTTACAATCGCAGGTGTCGCCCCCAGCTGGACATGAAAAGAATTTAGTCTTAGGGTTCTTTAGTGTTGGCTTTTAAATCTATAGCCATCATTTACATACAGTCTGTGTCTGCCTTACCACAGCACAGGTGCTGGACCAGGTGGCCGTCGCAGGTGATCACTCTGGTGCTGGATATGGCAGTCGCAGTGGACGGGACAAAACGTTTGGCTCGGGTTACACCTGGAGGGAAAAATAAAGAGTTAAAAAAGCAGAGTGGGTATGAGCTCACAGCTGATGGTGTGTGTGGGGGGTCAGCCGACGGCTTCTGTCTGCTGTTTTGACTCTACGATGAGACTCAAGGACAGCCTGGCTGTTTGCTGGCAGCAGAGACTAAACCTCTGACCTTATCTGAGGCTCTCTCTCCTTCACTGATTCATTTATCTTTATTTTGTGCTCTTCGTCTCCTCCTGCTGAACAGTTAGCGCCGCCATGGAGTCAGCTGACTGACGCAGAGTCACAGCACAAACCGACGGTCTGACGGCTTTTCTGTCTCTGAAAGCTGCAACAGTCACGTGACGAGGTGAGAGTGACGGCGTTGAATCGAGGCAGACACGAGTGTGATTTAGAGTGGGGGGTAGTGGGCAGGTGTTCCCGCCGTGTTTGTGGTAAATGAAACTTTTCCACAGATAATTTAATGTTGATTGGATCTGTGTTAAAATTCAAATAGGAGCTTAGTTTCTGTAAGTGTCTGACCTTTGACCTTTGATGCTGTCTAAGAGCGTGCACCTGCTCATGTGGACTGAAAAATCTCACAGTTTATTCAAATCTGCCAGATTTATATCCCCACTACTTTCCAAATCCCACGATGAGCCAGGCCTGCAGCTCAGGGGCAGAGAAGTAAAGGTGAGGATCATTTTTAAAAATGTCCATTAATGAGAATAAACCAGGTAACAGAGAAGCACAAAAACAGACTTTTACCTGAACTCGCGAGTAAACATGTTGCTGCCAGCACTGAAAAACAAGAAGGAAACCTGAGTGTTAGACTGAGTTTGGTTCGTCTCCAAACTCACACATGAAATGATATCGAATGAAAAAAGGAGAAAACTGCAGTAAAAGGTCAGCGACCCCGATCATATTTCTATTCGCTGTCAGTGCAGCTCAGCATCTGCATACAAATGATTTTATCAACAACATGAGATGATGTCAGAGCTCCTTCCAATAAACATTTAGATTAAAGATGTTTGTCTCTTGTAAGAATGTTGGAAACATTTGAAGCTTTTTAATAAAGTTATTTCTATTCAATGACTTTGAATTATTTAACAGCAGAATTGTATTCCCATCCTGCATAAACCATTTCTTACCCTTTGATTATTTTCAGGCAGCACATGAACCCTGATCGTCTGATCAATAAACACGTGTATCTACAGAGCTGTTTGATTATTTGCTCTATGAAAGTAGAATCTGCAGCAAAGCGAGCACACATGCATTTCTGCATGAAGGATTATCAGTGTGTGCTACTCACACAGCGTGTTGCTGAGTCCGGAGCAGAGCATCGTGTTCGGAGGTCTGGTTGTCGGTGACGAGCTGAGCCGATGGCGGGTCGGACGGAGACCTTGGTGTATTTACGCCGTTTAGCTGAGAACTTTTACCGACGTGCAAAACAAGCAGCCAATGGAAAAATGAGAATCCGATGCTTATCAGGTGCAGCAGAGCCAAGGAGAAAACTAAACTGCTATCAATAAGAAACGATTATAGAAGCCAATCGCAGCTCGCCCAGTGTCAGCCGGGATCGGCTCAAGGCCCCCCCACGACCCTGAACTGGATCGTGGCTCGAGAAGATGGAGCCACAACACAAAACAGCCTTTTCTTTCTCAGACTGAGATGTTGAATCGGTTAAAGAAGGAAATCCTTTTAAAAGCTGCATAAATGCACCTCGGACTGTGGGACACCCCCCAGCATTCAGATCACCACAGGTGGTTAAAAGGCCTTCGGTCAACAAGCTGTGATCATCACTTTAACCATGACTGTTGTACAGTTTCATTAACCATCAGCGTTTATTCAGAATTATCACGATGTGACAGAAAAGAGACGTCGTGACCGCTGGCAGCTCGTCCTTCACGCGGAGCTTTGGTCATCGTCTCTGAAACACTCGGTTCAGCCGCAGTGTTTCAGTCTTAACATACTGACACAAACACGAGCGCACGTTCACACGTTCACGTGCAGAAGTGAAGGACACGATAATCAAGCATAAACTAAAACAAGGTGGTTTCCACAGAATCACCCCGACGGGCCGAGTGAGGCCGTTCCACAGGAGCTAAAAGTCCAACCGTGGTCGCCTCTGGATTTAAAATAAGAGTGTGGAGCAGGTGAAAGGCCCACGTCCAATCAGCAACAAGCGCTTAAATAAAGGCTCCGGCAGCGTTTGGATGGAGAACAGCAGCTGAGGTTATCTGTGAAACAGCTGCATGAACACTGTGACAGACGGATATCACATCCTGCTGTGAAAACACACATCTGTTTGTCTCGACCGCTATCACTGTGTGTTTGTGTGAAAGCTAGCAGCAAACCTCTGAATCATCATCAGGCTCCTCGGCTCTCTGCAGAGACAAGGAGCCGGAAACAGTGTTACAGAGTGACACGTTTGCAATGTCATTACATAAAAACAAAATGAATTCATCAGACAGCTGGAATAATGTGTCAGCAGCTCTGTTAAAAAGCGCAGAACTGAAAGAGATTCATAAGTTTCTCAAAGGAAGTCAATAAAACGAGGAAAGAGCCGAGCTGCTGTGTAACGGTGGAAGAAGTGCTGAGGAGGACGATCTACGTCAGGGGCGTCAAACATAAGGTCTGGGGGCCAAAATTAGACGGGCGACTACTCCACCCACTGGATGGCTTTGGGAAATGTGATGGATGGAATACATTTTGCACTTTTGTGTTTCCATAAGTTTATAAGTTTCCCCCGCGGCCCTTCATGCTGCACCAGAGTAATAAAATCACAATTACTGAGAGTTTTTCCTCTGTAAACTATAGAAATGTCTGTTTCTTACAGCGGCTCCAACAACATTTTCTGTGAACAGAAACTTTGTTTAATAATTACAGGACAGTCTGGACAGACAGCTCCCAGAACTTCCTCTGTAATCACACATTTATTTCTTACAGTCGTGCTGACAGACGTCGTTACTGCAGCAGCATTTCTTCATCATGTAGAAAAACTGAGACGCTGCTGAAACGTCTTTTTCTTATATTAAGATATCTCAGGATTAAATGTAGAGTTAAACTTGTTTAACTGACACAAAGACGACTTTCACTGGTCGATCAAAGCTGTATGTGGCCCACCATGTAAGATGACTTTGACATCTCTGATCCAGAAGGAAGTAATGAAATACAAATACTTTGTCAGTGTACTTTTACTCCCCACATTTGTACACACATTTCTGCACTTTCTACTGCTTACATGTTCAAAACAGACTCGTTACTTTTGCTTTGACACGTCTGAGGGGAGTTATGTTCTCACAGTTCCCACAAGTGCAAACAGCAGTTAAAGTGCTGAAGTGGAACCTGCTGCGCTTTTTGAACTGGGGACGAACAGACGCGAGAACATAGCAACACAGCACAGAGACAGGAACTATGAATAACAATGATATCAAAGGCTATTAATAATTCAGACACACAAAAAACTGGCTCACTGCAAACGTTGCATCAATTCACTGCGATATTTGCTTTTCTTTAGATTTAAAGTTAAGTTGTCAGCATCAGAAGTACTGATGGTGTATTTATGTCACACAGGTTTTTCCATCACAGCTGCAGGGAGACAGAAAGCATTTTGAGGTTTATTAAAATGATCAGATGATGATTTGAAGCATGAATGACTCACTTTCAGGTCAACATTTCAGTTCCTTTAAATTTTATTGAATTTATTTTCCTGTTTATTGTGATATGAAATCATATTTATCAACAGAATCCAGCAGTGATGTCATCGAGGCTTGACATCCTGCTGGAAGTGACATCAGCAGTGAGGCTGTGACATCATCATGTCAGTTGTGTCAGGACACGAAGGAGCAGTTATGGACCTCTGACACAAACAAACCCTCTCTGTGAGTTACACCCCACATCATTGACAAAATCTTCTCCTGTAAAGAATCAAAACAAAGAAATAAAATCAGAGGTCTGTGCAGTAAATGTTTTCTTCTTCTCTAATGTAAAAAGAACAAACACAGTTCTTATAAAGACCTAAGATCACATGACTTCAGTCAATATAAAAACCAAACACATTTCATCAACAGGCCCACTTTCAGTTTGTACCTCCAAAGTTTATCTCCATACAATCTTCTCCTCCAGAGTTGTCAGGTTGTCCATTACCCCAGTTTGTGAAGTCAAACTGGGAACCATCACTCCACTTCCACACAGTTTCCTGGAAGAATAAAGTTCAGTTTGTTCTGATGTACTTTGATGCATCTATGCTGAGAGTGCAGACATGAGACCTCTTACACCACTCGAACACAATGAAGGTTCATTTTGTTTGTGCAGGTAAAAAATGAAAAGAAAAGTCAAGTCAACAGCAGCATCTGTCTCCAGGAACAAAGTCCTGATTAATCAGTCTGTCACATGTTGACCTTTGAATCAAACTGATGAATATGAAGAGAAACATATGAAATATCAGAAACAGCTGCAGCTCATCCTCTTTATCTGTGAAACACTTACATTCTCTCTGTCGTTGCCTCCAACCCAAGCTGGTGGATACGACCCTGCTGCTGTGCGAGTGAGCTCTCTGATGAAGGTGTACTCAGCTGTGCTGTGGTATGAGGCCAGATTTCCACCGAGTGTCTGACAGGAACTCTGAGGAGGAAGATGAGGTGCACAGAAGATGAAAAGTGTGAGAATGCATTTAAAATCAGTCAAAGACAGAAAGTCTTTATATCATCAGTGATGCAGCGACAGCTGCTGTTATTTCCTGATGTACCTCAGCATCAGTCCAGGTCTTCATGCTGCTGTTAACGATGAAACAGCGACCTCCAAACCAAGTCCAACCAGCAGGGCAGGAAGGAGCTGCAGCATGATTGTAAAGGTAGAAGGTCGATAATCAGATTACAAATTCCTCAAAAGACAAAGAAAATACTCAGCCGTGTTCCACTACTGAGTCTATTTGAATTTAAGCTGATGAGGTTCATTTGACATTATTCCTTCTGCGATACCTGGTTACAGACTCAGCACTCTATGCCTTCATAGCCACCTTGGATGACTTCCACTACATCACTTTGAATGCTATACTTCCAACTTTCACACAGTATGTCGTCTGTTTTACCAGCTGAGAGAGAACTTGTTATGAGGCAACAGGCAGATACGTTGTGAGCCCCACAGGACACTGAGTGTATCAGTGATTACATAACCGTCTGCACCGACTCCATTATCTCAGCTCGGACTATACATTGTTATTCAGATAACAAGCCGTGGGTGAAAGAACATCACAGCTCTCAACGATAAAAAGAGGGCCACAGAGAGGAGGTGGAAAGGGTTTCGTTTTTATTGAAGGGCACGATCAGAGAGGCTATGGACAGTTGCAGGAGAAAGCTGGAGTGGGAACTCCAGCAGAACAACATGAGAAAGCTCTGGAGTGGCATGAAGATATGTCTTTGTAGGTTCTCAGCCACCCAGGTCACGGTAGTCTAAGGAGCTTGAAAAGTCCTGAAAAGCGTCCCTGGACTCACGCCATTCAAAAGCAGAGCTGAGGGCCAACAGGTTGAATTTGTTCTTCTACAGATTTGACACTGCAGCTAACGCTCACCCCCCGACTGACTTAACTGTAGTCAGCCTACAGTCCAAAGCCACACCACTCTCTCTCCCTCTTTCTCCTCATTGCACCTGAGCATACTGTGAAAGTCCTGACACTCCTGCTCCACCTGTAACTTTTACCTAGGACCAGGTTCAGAGACAAATGAAAGACTCCACTAAAAAAGCCTGAAAGACCAGACAGGGCGAGTCCCGGTGTCCTCGAGGCCTGTGCACCAGTGCTGTGGAAGACGTCATCCCTCTTTCCTGTACCAAACACGCTCAGTCGTGTCTACGCCCACCTGGACCAACCGGTGAGCACTAGGAGGGTCGTGTTTTTTGACTATCCAGTGCATTCAACACCATCAGGCCGACCCTCCTGGGTGATAAACTGATAGTGATGCAGGTAGATGCCTCTGCGGTGTCCTGGATTGTTGATTACCTGACAGGAAGACCACAATATGTGCGTCTTCAACACTTTGTGTCTGACAATGTGATCAGGAACACAGAGGCAACACAAGGGACCATGCTCTCCCCTCTTCACTTTCTACACCACAGACTTCAGCCACTGCACAGAGACCTCCATCTTCAGAAGGTTGCTGATGACTCTGCAGCGGTTGGATGCATCAGTGAGTGTGATGAGATGGAGTACCAGGCTGTGGTCGACTCCTCTGTCACATGGTGCGAGCAGAATCATCTGCAGCTCAGTGTGACAAAA